CATCACTAGTACGGGATTTACTTATGAAACCAGACCCTATTGATCCATATGCAAAGCTTAAAACTGAGTTAATAAATCGTTCAGGAGAATCTTCTCAGCAAGAAATTCGCCAGTTATTATCTGGAGAAGAATTAGGCTCTCGAAAACCTTCCGATTTGCTTAGAAATATGAAGCGTCGAGCAGAATCTTTAAATGTTCCTGATAACTTAATATTAGAATTATTCCTCCAACATTTGCCTTCGACTGTTCAGTCTATTTTGGCAGCGGTTTCCAATTTAACTGTAGATAAAGCTGCAGAAATTGCCGACAGAATTTTAGAAGTAAATCCAACCCCAGGGACTTGTGCCGTTTCTCGCACAGTCGATCAGTCTCTTGAGCATAAATTATTTAAACAAATAGAAAAATTAAACAAACGTATTGATCGCATTTCTCTTTCTCGTGGTCGCTCACCAAATCGCGGAGATAGCAATAAGGAAAGAAGCAATTCCAAAAGGAGAGATTATTCTGTTTGCTGGTATCATAGACGTTTTGGGAAAAAGTGTAGAGATGACAAATGTACAAAACCTTGTTCATGGCAGGGAAACGAAACCAGCAAAGAATAGAGGCGACTTATTCTTTGCCTCAAGTTTCACGTCGCCTGTTTCGTTCGTGACCGTAGAACAAACCTTTCATTCTTGGTCGATACCGGCTCTGACGTGTCCTTACTTCCAGCAAATAATTCTCAAAAAACGGAATTCGTCCCAACAAACACTTTTCGCTGCTAATTCTTCTTCTACTATTCATGTTTATGGTCAAAAAACACTTTCTTTGGATTTCAAATTAAGACGACAGTTTACATGGACTTTTCTTGTAGCAAATGTTAGTACACCCATTCTTGTCTTGGAGCAGATTTTCTCCATTTCTTTGAATTGGTGCCTGATCTCAGAAACAAATGTCTCAAAGATTTAAAAAACGCATTTTAAAAAAAACCGTCGGTTGCGTGAAAAATGCAAGCATTTTATTCAGTAAAAAACTGTATTTAGTGATACACCATATCACAAAATTTTAAAAGAATTTCCTTCAGTTACTGGATTACCAGATCCTAACCAACCTGTTAAACATAACACCGTTCATTATATCATAACTAAAGGTCCACCTGTGGTTGCAAAACCTCGTCGGTTAGCTCCAGATCGCTTAAAAATAGCAAAACAAGAATTTCAAACTATGATGCAACAATTGGGGCATTTGAGACCTTCGAGCAGCAATTATGCATCCCCACTTCACATGGTTCCAAAAAAGGGAAGTCTGGAATGGAGACCTGTAGGAGATTATCGAGCATTGAACGCTCAAACAATAAAAGACAAATACCCTATTCCATGCTTAGCCGATTTACTGTACTGCTGCATTGCACGGTACTAAAATTTTTAGTCATGTCGACCTGATTAAGGCATACCATCAAATACCAATTAACCCAGCCGACATCCACAAAACCGCCATATGCACACCATTCGGTTTATTCGAAAGTACCCGTATGCAATTCGGCTTATGCAATGCATCCGCGACTTTTCAACGTTTTGTAGATGAAGTCACGCGGGATTTTAGAAGGTGTTTTTACGCTTTCGTCGATGACTTGCTCATAGCCTCTAAAGATTCTGAGGAACATTGCAGGCATTTGAAAGCTTTATTTTCCAAACTTCAGAAATATGGACTTTGCATAAATGTTTCAAACTGCACCTTTGGTCAAACATCTATTGATTTCTTAGGTTTCACCTTAGTGAAAACGGAATTGAACCTCTTCCTGACAAAGTCAAATGTATTTTAGATTTCCTCAACCTACCACTCTCACTCAGCTTCGCCGATTTTTAGGCATGTTTAACTTTTATAGATGTTTCATACCTAAAGCAAGCACATATTCTTTCTCCTTAATAAAATTGTTAGAAGGCTATATTAATAAAAAGAAAATCTCGTTCTCGTGTTCAGGATTCATCCCCACAATTAAATTGGAACGAGAATGCTGAACAAGCCTTTATTGCTGCCCAAAAATGCCATTGCTCAGGCTACCCTTTTGAGACACCCTATTCCCGGAGCCCAGCTAAGCATCTGGGTAGATGCATCAGAACGTCGCAATAGGCGGCACACTTATGCAGTTGTCTCAACAAACATGGGAACCTATAGCATTTTTCTCTATGAAACTCAATAAAAGTCAACAGAAATGGTAATCGTACGATAGGGAATTATTTTCCTAATTCATTCTGCAAATTAAGAAATTCCGACACATGTTAGAGGGCAGAAATTTTATAATTTATACGGATCAAAAACCGTTAATATATGCTTTTAAACAGAACCCTCATAAATGTTCACCTCGACAATTACGACATTTAGATTTTATTTCTCAGTACTCTACTGATATTAGGCATATGCAAGGTTAAAAAAATGTTGTTGCTGACGCTCTTTCAAGAATCGAAATTGATTCCATAACAAAATCTCCATTTTTGGATTTTAAAAAAATTTTCGGAAGCTCAACGGCATGATCCGGAGGTACAAGACCTTCTCAAAAACAAACATCATCTTTGAAACTGGAATTTAAAAAAAACCGTGCCAATATTCTGATGGTAATATTCTTTGTGACATATCGACAGACATTCCTCGTCCATTTGTTCCGAATTCCTTTCTTCATCTTTAATCATCTGCATAATCTGTCACATCCAGGAATTGCAGCTACTACGAAGCTTATTTGTTCTCGTTATGTATGGCCTGATATGAAACGTTCATATCAAAAATTGGTGAAATCCTGTGAATCTTGCCAAAAATCGAAAATTACTAGGCATACTAAAGCACCACTGGGCACATTCTCTCTTCCTGATGCACGTTTTTCAGAAATCCATATGGATATCGTCGGACCGTTACTTCTCCATCAGAAGGCAATGTGTACCTTTTGACTCTAATAGATAGATTCTCCAGATGGCCTGAAGCCATTCCCATCCCGGATATGAAAACGGAAACCATTTGCAGAGCCATTTTTCAACTGTTGGATATCTCGTTTTGGCTGCCCATCGATCATAAACAACAGACCAAGTTCTCAAATGAGATCCGCACTTTTTTAAGCAGAATTCACGCGCATTTTGGGTACGAACAGAATCACAACAACAGCCTATCATCCAATGTCAAAAACGGCATTGTTGAACGATTTCATCGACATTTAAAATCTTCTCTCAAGGCTCACGAGACCAATAACTGGACTGAAACACTACCAGTTGTTATGCTTGGTATTCGTACAGCCGTAAAGGAAGATCTACAGTCATCTTGTGCTGAAACTGGTGTACGGCACAACTCTCAAGCTGCCTAGTGATATGATAACGTCATCTAGATATCTCCGTATGACACACACAATTTATCACGAATCTTAGGCATAGAATGCAACAATTGAATCCAATAGCAACATCTGCACATTGCCAAGAAAAATGTTACGTAAGTGCTACCTAAAGTCGTGTACGCATGTATACTTACGTGTCGATCGAGTAAAGCCACCTCTGTGCCAAACATACACAGGTCCGCATAAAGTCCTTTCTAGAACGGACAAAACTTTCACAATTGATGTTAACGGTCTGAAATCTACTGTGTCTATAGACCGTGTGAAACCAGCCTATTGCTTTCGGACTCTAATTTGCCTGAACTGAAAACAAATAAAGACTTAAAGACAGTTCAGCAGAATAAATCTGCAAACGAACTCTCTAAGACACAACTGTCACCAGATCGGGAAGACATGTTCACTTCCCTAAGAAACTTGCTTCTTACATAACAATTTAAAACATTTTTTTTTAAATTCATATCTTAACATATTTCTTGTTATTTCATGTTTATTATATGTGTCAATACCTTGTTATATATTGAATTTCATTTTGATCTTTTCTAATTTTATATTCTAATTTTGTAATCATGTAAAAATACCCGACAGTTCGGATACTCTGAGATAATTTCATAACCTATGTCGTTCCTTTGAATAGCCATTAAAGGAACTGGGGGGAAAACTCTGTGGTGATGGTGATAAGGAGGCGCCTTGCGCCCTCCGATAAGTGTGGCAACCCTAGAGGAGAAGTTTCTTACGAGTAGCGAGCAGAGCGAAACAGGCAGGCTGTCGGGGAGTATGCGCGATGTTCCTAAATAAAGTATAATTTTTATTGTGCACTATGTCTCGTTAATATTTATATTAATGCAGTAAGAACATAATCTGTGATATGGAATTTGAGGACTGGTGGTAAAAACATAACAGGAAATCACCATAGTAGTAACCTTTATCGCCTCCAAAATGTCGCCAAACTACCAGTTACCATATTCCAAAGATCAGCCGAAATCTTTTTTAGGCTTTAAAAATGTACTTTATTTTTATATTTATATTTTGTAACATGATTTTTCAATTAGTCTACATTTGAAATAGCAAAAGCAGTCTGAAGTTGGGGCAGAAAGTAGCATGGTGTTGTGTGCATATGTATTTTATATGGATCATTTTTGTAAAATAACAGTACACACCAAACAGTTTTCAATACGTGTCACTTATTCGTGGCAGCAGAAACATCTCCAGTGGAATTTTGGTAATCTTTATCTACTACTACATCTGGTATTCTTTCCACTAGTTCATAAATATTGATTGAGTTGGTCACATTGTCTATAATTAACTCCATACTAGATTAATTCTGTTTTCAGCTATTTTAAATAAATACTTGTACCATGACTAGTACTACTTTAAATCCACTGTTCTATTTTATAAACTATGTGCAGTTGCAAAAATGTAAATTTTCTGAGGGTTTTTTTTGCATATATTTCTTTATGAAATTTGTGAATTTCTGATTTTTTCCTATCATTAAAAAAAATTCTGTTATAAATTAAAAATTATTTATATATGCTGTTTTCCATTTTATGTTACTTCTCATTAGAATTTCTGAAAAAATGCATTATAATGTAATCCTATTTCAAAACTAGAATTTTCAATTACATATCTACATTTTTGTTGAATTTCTGCATAGCTGCAAGTGTAGAGGAACTACATACACAAGATATCGATTTTCAGATGGGAGAAGCTAATATGTTCATGCAGGGAGCAAGTAAATAACACACATTTTGCTTTTAATTATTAATCTATTTAATTTATATGGGGTGCCAACTGTGCTGATCATGTAGGATTTCAAAAATACTGGCATCCAGCCTAGACTTCCAGCATATGAAAAAAAATTGGGTATTCTTATGTTACCGGAAATGTGTGTATGTATAGATGTATGTATATATGTATGTACATATGTATGTGTGTGTATACATACACATATATGCACCAAAAGCTGTTTCACTGAATTACATGAAGCTCCATTGCCCATCAGTGCCAGCAAATAATTTTGATGCCGAATGACCCTTTTTTAAAAATATGCTTAATAATGAAGAAATAATAATGCTAATTAATGAAGAAAATCTCTATGTACAATAAATGCTTGAAGTCACCATCCAAGTAAATAGTAACTTTGATCTAATGCAATTCTACTGAATATATTTCCAGAATTTGATTGGCTTATGCTTTACAATTTCTGTTCAAAATGTATGAAGTAATATGTAGTTATGTATTAGTAGTTTGTGTTATTGCTTCATTTTAGTATGCATCAATCACCTGAAATCTTAATATAAATCCTTGACTGAAAAATTTTGGAAATTTTCTCTATTTAACTTGGAATTGCTCTATGAGTTTTGCCTTTCCCCCTTTCTGAAATGAAATTATCACTCTGAAAGTTACCAATAAAATGTTTTTAAAACATATTACTATTTAAATTCTTTATTTATTGAAATAACTAACTAAAGAAAGTTGAAGATTTGTATATGAACCTATTGAATAATGAACTCCCGGATATAATGAACAAAACTTTTGATCCCAATCCAGTTCCTTATATACTTAATGTTATTTTATACTGTTATAGCAAACCTCCGCATGTATGAAAAATGGGTGTAATGAATTGTATGGATAGCTTCAATTGAAACTTTTTTGTATTTTTTATATTTTTTATAGAATTTCTGCAAGTTTTAATAAAAACGTTTATAAAGGTTAAAAATCATCCACATTTAGGAGATTAGGATTCATACTGCATCCATAAAGGAAATCATGTTACTTTCATTTTTTACCCCTTGTGTCTCTGTGTTTTAAAAAATGGCTATGCCTGATAGATGGGTACCCAATCCTAGGAGAACAAGGATATAATAATCATACTTTAGGACAACATATGATTTCCATGATCATTGTGTAGAGTCATTAAGAATTTTTTGAAAGCAGTAGTCATGAAAAATGAGCAACGCCCTCGCTGGGAATCAAACCATGGACCTCTGGAATATGCACCCAGCGTGCAGACCACTACACTACAAAGGCATGCTAAAAAGGTGGGAGAAATACATTATATACTCCCCCTTTTAAAGGGAGACTGGGTTTAGGGGACCCAATCGCCTGGGTGTGGAGAATCATCATCCACCACTCTTTTTAGTTTGGGTGCCAGTGTAGAGTCATTAGGTATTTTTTAGAAGCAGGAGTGATGAAAAATGTGCAACGTTCTCGCCAGGGATCGAACCACGGACCTCTGGAATATGTGCCTAGCATGCAGACCTCTACACTATGAAGGCATGTTAAGAAGGCGGGAGAAATGCCTAATTGAACCAAAAAACATGAATAGCTTCTCCGATTCCATCCAGGTTCTTTAACTGAGCTGCAAAAGGGAACTTTATTCAAGGCTAATGCTGTGATGGAAATTCTGAAATTTTTGCAATTCAGGGAAAGAGAAAATAATGAATCTTATGTTCTTGTACCTTTACTGTTAATGCTCATTTTAGGGAATTAAAATTTTTTATCATTATCATTTTGTTTCATTTGATATTCTCTGAATAGGTGTTCTTTTGAATAGAATCCTCTATTCTCTAAATAGGTGTTCTCCATTCTTTAGGTCTTTTGCAAAACACAGAATATCCTTTATAAAGATTATTGAAGGTTATTAAGGTAGGCTTTGCTTTACAACCATATATATCATGGAGAACTGATTGTGTTCTCATTGAACATTGGATAAGACTTGTAGGTTATGAAGTTAATTTTCTTTTTCTTTAATAATGAAAAACTTTCACATCCTTTGATTAGTCCATCCGTACTCCGTTTCTTTAACAAAGTTTAATCCACATAGTGAACTGTAAATGCAAAGCTTCTGTATTAAAGATAAGGTGAACATTATTAAAAAAATACAGAGTGGATGCAGCCATATTAATATCTCCTAGAAATGGTTTATCCCAAATTAGAGCTGGTTCAGTATAAAAAACTGAAACTGTGTAATTTCTGCTCATGGAGAAATTTGGGTACGAGAAAAAAATTGAGAAAGCCAGAGCATAGTTATGTTGAAGAAGCATTGCTGAAATGATACCCCATTCATAAAACCCATAATTTGATATATATCTGCAAAAATGCTTCTGACAAAGGCCAGTGAATTTGCCATACAAAGAGACTGGAAAAAAAATTAACAATATATTTAATAACTGCACATAATATTAATTGTAATGAAATTTTGATGTGATTTTTTTAAATTAGATTTATCATTTACCTCTTGGTAGAATGTGACAATGTAAAAACGTTTTCTAAATGAAACTTTCAGTCCCGTGAAATTCGTTAGAAGGGTTTGCCTGTATTTTTGTAGAACAGATTTGCTATCTTGTTACTGTATAAGAGAAATGCTTCATTTATTTTTTTTCATATTTAATTTTTAATATCATTTTAAGATTATATTAGATTAAAATATACCTGTTAAAAACCGTGACAAAATATGACTAAAAATTATCATCAATAGTGAGCCTAAATATTGATTAATTTATTTTAAAGAGTCTTTTTTATGAGTATTTTAATTTATTTCTTTTTCTTATATATATATATTGTTATGCTTTTAGGTGCGAAATACAGGCATGATGAATTCAAAAATGCTAGTTCGATTAGTTTTTCATGTATTTGTTACTGTCATGTATTTCTGTGCTTTGGTTCGATATGAATACCTTCCACCCATGCCTCATAGGAGAAGTCATGAACATTTTGCAGGACGCTGGAAATACCTAACTTATTGGAATTTGGTAACTATTCTGCTTACAAAAATTAATTTCTTTCTTATTATAGTTAACGTTTACATTCATTGCTGTGAGAAACTTAAAATCACACATAACTTTATTTTTACTCACATAATAACAAGGTGAAATATTTGTTGAAAATTCAGATAAAAATATTAATGAAAAAGAAAATTTTCAAAAAATTATTTAAATAAATATTTATTTTAATTCATTCAGTTCTTGTGTACTGTGTTGCCAAAACAGTGATGTGTAGAACCCAGTTAACCATGTGTGCAGTTTTCTAAATTTGTTGGTTATTTTTCTGATTTTATGATTGCATAAAATAAATTTTTTGGTGCTTATATATCATCATAATCACCTTACTAAAAGTTCCCAACTCTTCAGAAAGTGCTTAACATTATTAAGCATGCACATAACATTTTTCAGGCTACCATGCTCATAATAATTTTTCAAGCAAGCCGTGTTGCCATTTTCATATACAGTCAAAAGTATTAATCCGAACTCTTCGGGACTTCAGCGATTCCGGATTATAGATCATCAGTTTAAATCTGGTAGAATGGCATGCAGAAATTATAACATTAAAAATATGAAACCGTAATTTACGAAATAAAGAACAATTATGATCTAAAGTGTATCAAAATTTACAAAAAAAAAAAAAGCTTAATATTTATTTGTTTACTTTATTAAACATTTCTTTCAATGTAAGTTGTTTTAAGTTGCTTCGTTTTTTATGTGATAATACATTCTCTTTAATTCTATAAACAGACATAATTTCTTGTTCAGTTCCGCTGTTCAGGTCCTATAATTGCTGTGTCGAGAATACCGACTAATTTGTCAATCGAAATTTTTTCGTTTTAAATAACCTCTGTCAGTTTCTTTGCTATCGGAAGCGAATTATAATGACGAGGCATTTGATTTAAATCATATCAAAGACTGAGTACATCAAAATGAAATACTACATTTAGTAAGCAATTATAAGCCAAATAAAATAAAAACATCTGCTCTGAAGATAAGGATAGTGTTGACAGATCAACTTCCAATTCATTGCGCGCCGCCGCCGCATTAAAGATAAACAAACGTTTATCTTTAAGTTTAGATAAACAAAGGATATGCCTTTATACAATTTTTGCAGCAATTCCACTTTTTGTTTAATGGACTCCGAAACATTCTTACGCTTTGTAGATCCATTACATATTAGTAAATATAAATCGGAAATTCTATTTGACATAATCGAAAGTTCAAGCTTACTTTTATAAAATTGCTCTAACAGTCTGCAAAAAATAATAAGCCGGATCCAATTCGAAGATTAAGGAACAACGCAATCTGCAACATTAACTGAAATAGATAGATAATTTTAGCTTAGCTTAGCTTATACCGTCCGTTATACATTAAACGTGCATTCGTAAACGTATTTTGTGCACGCGCAAATTCACAGTGGTAAATTTCTTATGCGCGTGCGTCAACGCGACGCACGCGCAGAAAGTTTGTAGCTTTGAGGTCCGGATTATGGGCGTCCGAATTAACAACTTTGGACTGTACATTGTTTTTGTTGTATTCCCCAAGTTTCAACTGTTTTTTAAAAACAAATCATGATATTTTTTGCCGTGAACTCGGTTCTCGTGGAGTTTCCCAACAGTGGAAGAAACTATATTAAAATATCTGCAGGAATACAGTATTTTGTCAAAGAATTGCTAAAGAGAATAATAATGAAATGCTTTTGGTAAGCAACCTGTATGCAATGCTGAGTTGGTACAATTCTCTGATAGTTTTTAAAGTGAAAACAGATCACTGTGTACATGGGCAGAAGAACAATGCTAAAACAGTAGAGAAACATTCTAAAAAAAAAAAATTCAAATATATTTCATTACCCTTATTCGATATCTTAAGATTGTGTTTAAAAATTTTAAAGTGTGTTTTCTTTTAATATGTTGTCAATATTTGTTAACTATGATAAAAATTAAAATTAAGGAATGTTTAAAAAAAACAAACAAAAACTGGTAATTGAAGGCCCATACTGCTCAATCCATAAACATCCTTCAACTTCTGATTTTTGGAATGTCAAAACAGCTTCTAAATCTTTACATATACTCCCAACACAGTTTAAAAAATCACTTATTCCACTTAATGCTCATTATTCTAGGTTTTATGCTTTCCCCAAAGTCCACAAAATTGGTATTCTTTTTCAACCTATAGGCTGTGTTCAGACGTGGGCATAAAGGGCATAAGTGGTTAAAGCCTAGCTGCGTTGCCAAGGCAACCAGTCTGCTACATCACATAATCTGGTTTAAGGCTCGTGGCACAAGTTTCGAAGTTTTCAACTTTACACCGAGTTTGGGATAATTGTTGACCAATCAGAGCGAAGCTAAAACGAAGTGGCTTTCTTTAGACAATTTCGCTGTCACATCGAAGGCGACATTTTTTTTAATATGGAGCACATTGTATCCGAATGAAATAATGAGTTGATCTCGCAAGAAATCTACGATGATGACATGCATTTTTTAATGAGTTTTCACAATAAATTATAAAAATATGGATGAAACTCGTAAAGCAAAAGTTAAGCTCAGGATCATGCACGCTGTGTATGATCCTGTAGATGATTGATCCCATCCATTATTTTTCATTTTATTATGAAAATTCTTTAAAAAATGCATGCTCGCAAAAATTTTATTTTTTCTGTGTAAATTATTATTATTAATTTCTTTCTGTTTATTATTTTTGTATAAATTATTATTATCATTTTCTTCCTGTTTAATTATTTTTGTATTTAAAAATAAGTTTATGGAGAAAGCTGGAAATATTATATTGCTCTTTGCTTCAAATGCCGATTTTCTTTCCAAACAAGCTTCATGAATTAATTTTGCTAAAACATGAAATCAATATCAAGAATCTGCTGTTTTTTTTAACAGTAAAGATATTACTGTTAAAAAAAAGAAAAAAAAGTTTCACTTATTTAAGAATAGTCAGAATAGTCAATTCAATGGTGTAAACTTTGTATAAGTAATAAAAGATTAATCTTTTGAGAAAATGCTCTTATGAATTCCAGGAAGGAAAAAATGAAGTGAAATATCCTTAAAACAAGTCAACAGTCTAGACAGTTTTGTCTCCTGTTAATGTCCTGTTCTGTTTTTTTTTAGTTACGTTCTCCATGAAAGGATTTTACTTTTAATGAAACTGAATAGCACACATAATTCATAACATGGTCTATAATTTAGTGAATAGTATTTGCTATTATTATCCACTCTTTATTACTATCATTTGAATGGAATTTTGATTATTAAATTCATGCTATTTCTCTGGTAGAAATTGCTGGATAAGGTATGAATGTTTATAATTTTGATGTATTTGAAGACGTGGGTACCTAAAATTTGTCAATTTGAGATATTGGTCGTAAATAGAAATGGTAGCATATGTTGAAATTAAACTCTTTTTGGTGCTTTATTATGCATGTCTGCCAGTGAGTGAAGAATTGTCATAATCTGTCAGCAAATGAAAAATCATTAAAAGTAATTACTTCTGACAACAGACGTGGATGAAACATACATCTATGACATCTCACAGCATAGCAGAGTTTAATTTGAATTACTCATATGATATAAACATAACAGTTTCCAGAATTATCCACAAAAATTCCTGAAAGTTAGTGTTTACTATATACTGTGTCTCTCGAGTGTAAGCCCCTCTTTTTTTTTTTTTTTTCAGAAAAAGCATATGAAATTCAGGGGTGCAGCTTATAAATGCAAATTCTAAAAAATAGATGTATACAAACAGCTGGCAACACAGCAAAATGTATTTAATGATTGAGCATAAAATGCATTGTTGGTTGAATGTTTCATAGTATTGTACGAGTTGTGGTTGCTGGTCATGGTGATCAGTTGTGGGATACTAGTACTAGTGATAATGAATACTGGTAGTGCAGCCAACTACTGTAGTGATCAACAGTGACAGTGAATAAGGAGTGCTAAGCACAGAAACATGTTCCTTTTGATTAAAAATTAAAAAAAATATTAATGTATGGTAAGTACTGTTTTCCGCTTAACTGCTTTCACACTTGCAAAATGGAAAAATATCATATAAAGGCTATCTGTTACTTATCCTCAAGATTTTTTTTTTTTAATTAGGCATTTTTAGAATATCGTATTTCTCCAAAGAGAAATTGCATATAAAAATTGAAGAAGGTTTTATATATATAGATATGCATGTGCATGTTTATAGTATAGAGAGTACTACAGTACAATGCAGAAATATTCCATACTGCTTCGTGCAGAAATAGGTGCCAACCAAGTATTGGTCTTTCCAAAAAAAAGTATCTCTAGACCATTTCGTTCTTTTCCGTTTTTTACCTTCTTCCGTTGCCTCTTGGCTTATAAGAAGGGCAGATAAAAGAGCATTCTGTTGAACCAGTTAAAATTTGTGGTGAGCTTAAAAAGCTATGACACCAAATAACGAAAACTAGCAGAACGAGTGCGGGAAATCAATCGAGCAGGAAAACAGCACGCGAAAGGTGTAGACACATTGGCGCATGCGCAAATTTAGCTTTTTTCATTGGCCACAGCTTATATCCCTGTCTCGCAGGTGTGAACGGAACTCTCGTATTTTATGCCCTTATGACTATGCCTCTATGTTCTTTATGGCGCCGTCTGAACGCAGCTATAGTTTCCAACTTAGGAACGGCTTCATATCTTTAGGCCAAATATTTAGTCTCCAGATATTTTGCTTTACTTTCTCATAATATTCACACTGTAAAAAATTCTTTTGAAGTCGTCGATAAACTTAAAGATATTCCTCCTCTGCATTCCATGAATGTAGTTTCTTTTAATATAAAATCATTGTTTACTAACGTTCCACTCGAAGGAGCACTAAAATGTCTCGAAGCTAAGCTTCAAGAATTCCATTTCACACATGCTGAAATTGACGAGTTTTTTTTCTTTTACTAAAATACTATTACTCTTTGAGTCGGCACCATTTCATTTTCGAAAAGGAATATTTTAGTCGAATTAAAGAATTAG